GAGTGTTCTAGTGGTGGTTGGGTAGAAAAAAAAAAAAAAAAAAAAAAAAAAAAAAGGTCATCAGAATAAGCAAACCAAAAATAAACTGAGAAATAAAAGAAACAAATTAAAAGGACCGGCATTGTTAGAAACCATTTTAATTGTACAACCAAAAACTACAACTGCAAGCTTATGAAATCTCCACAACAAGCAATTAAAAATGCATGTCAGGGGGTGTGGCCGAACATGGCAGGCTAAGGACGCACTGTACCGAGCTCTGCAATCCCGGGACTATCTGCTGACTTTCTCCCCTCCAAGCCCCCTCACCTGGCCTATGTCCTCGAGATTGGCTCTTGCTCCAGCCACGGAAACGGCTGGCACCCGCGATATTTGCGTAATTCTTCGTGAGGATCCCTCGGCAGCCGTCCTCCGATGTGGACCGCACCATGCCGCCAAAGGCCTCGGGTAAGAGCAAGCCCGCACGGGATCCGCGGCCACAGGGGCAGGGTAAGGCTGCTGTGAAATCGGACGGCCAGAAGCAGGTACCCTTGCATGTCTCCCCTACCGCCCCACTCTCTCCTATCAGTTCCCTCAATCCATCCCTGCCTACCACTCTCATGGGATTGGATAGGGAGCAGGGACAGGAAGTCAGGTACCTACTCACAGCATTTTGGGCTGACTTCGACTCCTGGGCAGTCCGCCTGAAAGGTGCCTTGAGGGGGGAGGTGTGTGAGCTACGCCAACAGGTTGACGTTAGCGATACCAAGGTTTCTGCATTATCAGATGCTGTGTCCTGCTCAACCCGAATTGATACTCTAGAGGCTTCCTATGCTACATAGTACATAGTATGGTATAGAACCCATCTGCAACAATTGCAACTACGTGTAGAAGATGGGGAGAACAGTAGCCGTGGCAACAATATCCGGCTGCGGGGCATTCCTGAGGCTACCCAGGGCCCGCATCCCCATGCCACTGTTACCGCTTGGGGTAGCCCCCCACTGAGGCCATTGAGCTGGACAGGGTACACAGAGTCGCAGGCGCTGGTGTGGATCACCAAAACTTCGTCAGAGACGTCCTGTGTCGGGTCCATTTCTACAACATAAAAGAGGAGATTCTGAGGCGAGTGTGGCGATCGGGCCCAGTGGATTTCGATTCATCTGATGCCGGACCTTTCCCCGTCTCACACTGGCCATGCGCAGATCTGTCAAGCCTCTTCTGGAAGTTATTCTTCGAGCCGGAGCCACTTATGGATGGGGTCATCCCTTTAGTGTGTAGATACGGAAAGGATCTGACCAATTCCATCTCCGCTGTCCCGCTCAACTCCCTGATTTGTTCAGGTTCCTGGGAGGTGGATCCGATATAGATTTCGGACTGGCTCGACCTACCTTTTCTGGATGGTGGGCCCGGGGTGTCCTCCATTCTTCCACAGCAACAACGACGTGCCCGTTCCTACTCTGTGCGAGCTATTCCTCGCCCTGTTCCTCCGATGTCTAATGAGGGTTGACAGTACACATGGAACTAGCTCCTCGCTCGGGACCTCATATCCTTTGCAGTGCCTTGCTCACATTTTCTGGATTTCTTTAATATATAGTCATGTTATTTTGTGATTGCTTCTGCTTTATCACGTTGCAAAATGCTGTTCATATACAGGTGAAACTCGAATAATTAGAATATCGTGCAAAAGTAATTGCAGTAAGTGCTGCAAAAGGGGCCCAAACCAAGTACTGAGTACATATGCATGCTTGTACTTTTCAGAGGCCTGATATTGTTCTGTGTACAACCCTTGTTTTATTGATTGCATGTAATAATCTACTTTTTTGAGGTTGTGGATTTGGGGGTTCTTGGGGTTTTCATGAGCTGTAAGCCATAATCATCACAATTATGACAAATCACGGCTTAAATTATCTTGCTTTGCATGTATAGACTCTATCTCATATATTAGTTCCACCTTTTAAGTTGCATTAGTGAAATAAATGAACTTTGCCCGATATTCTAATTATTCGAGTTTCACCTGTATGACATTACCTGCCCTGGTGGGCTCTGGATATGTCCAGGATCTTCCTACCTCCTATAGTGTTCTGTGGGAGTATGGGAGGGGCCTGTAGATTCCAGCAGGTTTCCTGGCCCACGTGACCAATTTCAAGAAGCTCGGGGTCATTGTCCTGATTGTGACCTACTAATGTATAATAGGGAGGGGTATTTTTGTTTCTCCCCCTTCCTTTCTCTCCCCTCTCCTTCCTTTCTCTCCCCTCTCCTTCTCTATCCCGTACCCCCAGAATAGCTGCCACTAGGACAGCAGCAATGGACCTTAAGCTTTGTACCTACAATGCTCGGGGTCTTTTTTTTAAAATAAATTCTTTATTTAAAGAGGAATTTTTGAATTTTCCGTGTACAAATACAGTTCCACAAGTGGGTCCAAATATGAACAACATGCATGACATCAGCAGTACATATCAGACTCAAGTTGCGAACACAGGTACAAAACCACATATAACCAGAACAAGTGACAAATAAAAGGGGGGGGGTCCGTCGTCAAGGCCCAGATGATGGTAAAGGGGGTGCTGATGCGAGACCTCCATCGGTGGTCTCAGTACCAAGTTCGGGCCTGGAGCAGGACTGGGTTTGCGGACTGGGGGCCTGAATGCCTTTTATAAGTCAGGACATAATACAGTAGTGACGGACTTGAAAGGGGTAATCCAGGGGGTGGGGAGTGTGTGTGTGGGGGGGGGAGAGAGGATGCTCGGGGTCTTAATGTTCCCTCTAAGAGAGGCCAGATCCTATATCATATGCACAGGGCTAAGGTGCAGGTGATATTGTTCCAGGAGACACATTTCCACAGTCCACATGTTCCCCAATGTGTTAACAGATATTTTACCAGATGGTACCATAGCTCTAACAGTATACAGAAATCTAGGGGGGTCTCCATTGCCTTACACAAATCTCTCCATGCAACGGTCTTGGACCAATGCATGCATGAGTTTGGTAGGTATTTATTGCTCAAACTGTCACTCTGGGGTAGGATCTTTACACTAGCGAACTTTTACCTTCCGAACACTAACCAAATAACAGCTGCTGTCCAATTCCTGAAGATATTAGCGGATTTTGCAGAGGGTACGGTCCTTGTTCGGGGGGACTTAAACCTTACTCTTGAACCCCGGTCTAGACTCCTCGATAGAGAGTGTAGAGCGACCTTTCTCCAAACTACGTATACTTAAAAAACGCCTCATTGAACTTCGCCTGGTGTATATGTGGAGGGTTCTTCATCCCTTGACTTGTGACTATACCCACTACTCTGCTCCCCATCGTTTGTACAGTAGGCTGGACTACTACTTTGTTTCCCATTCAGTGCTTGATTGGTCCCCTACTTGTGACATAGACCCCACTGTGTGGTCTGACACGCTGTGTGCTGCAGCCATCTCACTGGAGATTTGTCGGTTCTTGGGAGATCCATGACCACGACCCTACCCCTCTCCCGGCCCAGTGGGAAGCCCTTAAGGCAGTTTTTCTGGGGCACCCTGATTCAACACAGATCTAGGCTAAAGCGGGAGCGCTCTCAGAACCTACGCGACACCTTTCGGTCACCTAGGGATCTGGAAACGCGCCACAAAGGCTCTACTGATCCAGAGGTTTTGCTACAAATTTCGCAGACTAGACAGAAGTTGTTGGGGCTTCTGGATCTCTCGACGCGCAGATATGCCGACTAGTTGGCTTATCGAGCGTATGAATTTAGAGATAAACGTGGTCTGGCCCTAGCTAGGACCCTATACCCTAGATCCTCTCACACTTTCATCACGCAGATCCGACCATCTCCGGATGTCCTGTTTCACTCGCCCTCGGCGATCCATCAGGCATTCGCCAAGTTCTAAGAGTCTCTATATAAATATCCCAGAGACCGACCCGACTGCCCCAGATCGTTTACTCTATCGCCTTGGAATCTGACTTTCTGGCTCAGGCGTTAGAGGCACATATTTCCCTGATCCATAAGCCTGAGAAGGGTCATACCCTTTGTACTAATTATCGTCCAATCTCGCTCATTAATGTAGATCTGAAATTCTTTTCCAAATTGATAGCCAGTCGTTTACAACCTATACTTCCCAGCCTAATTCACTGTAGCCAGGTTGGGTTCGTGCGGGGGTGCGAAGCCAGAGACACCATCAAAACTGTCCTGCTTATGCAACATGCCCAGACTTCCAACACTCCCATGTGTCTCTTGTCGGTCGACGCCGACAAGGCTTTTGACCGACTGAGTTGGCACTTCCTTCAACACTCTCTGCTGCAAGTTGGATTTCGGCCCCTTCTGTTGCGCAACATTATGGCCATCTACTCTATCCCAGCGGCCCGTGTCCAGATCAACGGCTCTCTTTCCCCA